ATTATACTAATCAAAATCACACGTAGAGATTAGGGGTAATGTAATTCATGTGATACTAAAAATGTAATGCAATATCTACTCATGAAGAAGGATATGCATGGTAATCAAATTAATAATAAAATTAAATTTCACTTACAATACAGTCTAAGAATTAATTTGCCGATCGAATTACGATCTTTTATTAAGATAATTTTGCTCCCCTAATGCCCAAGGTCTACCTTCTAGGATATAATACGTTACGTTTCAAATGATTAACATTGTCATCACAAAGGAATCGGTGAACGGAACTTTTGATTTGCAAATCGAACGTTTTGGAACAAGATTATTGATTCTTGGGAAGTGATTAAACGCAAAATTGTAGGGGAAATATATCAAAAATTGATGATTAAATGGAAAACTGGAAGGCCCTTTATTTTTGAAAATGGCCATCATCCAAAACTCACGACCTTTCCAAAGTTTTTGGTTGTGCAAAAGTGAAGGAGTTGTTTCACGAAAATGTGTAAAAAGAAGGTTATAGAATCTAGTCAAACCATGAAAACTTCTTACCACGGTTATACGTTTCGGTATTGGCCACTCCTTGATGGTTTTGATTTTCTCCTCATCCACTTCAATACCTCTAGAACTAATAACACAATCAAGAAAAGCAACATTTTACATGCAAAACGTACACTTTTTAAAGTTAACAAAAAGTTGTTTTTGTCTTAAAATCATAAGCACACATTGTAAATGAGAATGTCATATATGCTCATTTAAATTCTTACTATATATCAAGATATCATCGAAGTAAACTAATACAAATTTATGTATAAATGCACTCAAGACATGATTCGTTAATCTCGTAAAAATGCTAGGTGCATTAGTAAGTCCAAATTGTATGACTAATCACTCATATAAATTATACTTAGTTTTAAAAGCAGTTTTCCACTAATCTCATTTTCTCATCCTAATTTGATGATATCCATTTTTAAGATCTATATGACTAAACATGCATGATCCATGCAATTCATTTAACATACCATCTAAAGTAGTTACGGGATGACGATGTTTTACCGTTATGTTGTTGATGCTTGACAGTCTACGCATATCCTCCAAGTTCCATCTTTCTTCGGCATAAGTATCACTGACACGATACATAGACTCATATTTTCACTTACATACCCCTTGCTTATCAATTCTTCCACTTACTGTTGAAGTTCCTTTGTCTTCTTGGGATTACTCCTATAAGCCGGCCTATTTGAAATAACAGCTCCATGTATGAAGTCAATTTGATACTCAATGCCTCGAATGGGTGGTAACCTACTAAGCATATCCTTCGAAAATAAGTTTTCGAATTCCTGCAACAAAGATGTAGTCAAATTAGGGAGGATTGTGTTGATTCTCGAAGTTGAGGAGCGATCCCTTATAAACCAACAAGATCATAAGTCAGCTCTCAACTATTGCCATCTTCAACTTCTTCTCTTTTGCAAAAATATTCACTTTCTACTTTTCTCTCCTCTCAAGAGACTCTTTTTCTTATCTCTCTTGTTGCTCTAATATTTTTTCTCACAATTAGCCACCTCACTATTTTCTCTCTTACTCTCTTATTGTGAAAGATCAATCCCACTCTTTCTTCCTCTCATTCTTTTATCTTCCTTATTTTTCAGTTTGATTTGATCTTCATAAACTTGTTTTGGTGTTAGTGACGTAATAATAATAGATTTTTCATTTTTAGCAAAACTGTACCTGTTTTTGTACCCATCATGCATCACATTCCATCATATTGTCATGATCTCCCCAACAAAATATACTCGGCATGCATAGGAACTACATCACACATCACTTTATCATGATACCTCACAATTGAGAAAACTCACCAACACTCGCACATTCACCCTAACCTCTCCACATTCATTTAACAATTGTAATTTATAACGCATGTGCTGTTTTAGCATAGTTAACCCCAATTTCTCAACAAGTATAGTATTAGCCACAGTGGTACAAATATCCTCATCAATAATCATACTACATACCTTGTTGTTGATATGGTACCTCATATGAAATATGTTCTCCCTTTATTACTCCAAGTCATCCACTTTGATTTAAACATCAAGAGCTCGCCTTATAACCAATAGTTCTCTCACTGCATACTCTACTTTCTCACCATCACTAGCATCCTCCAACTCGGGCATGTTATTATAAGCACCCTCACTATCAATCACCACTTCTCCATTGTTACGCAATATCATCGTCCTTTTGTTTGGATATTGAGAAGCAATGTGTCCCTGATCTCAAGTACCTAAAGCATTTGATATCCCGATCCTAAAAGGTTGGGGATCCGTCTTGGATGTAATTTTGCTAGCAACTTCCTCTTTTCTTTTCGATGGCTCAGTTCTACTCTTTGTAACAACCTTATCACCTCTATTGTTATCCCACTTTGGTTTCTAAGAAGGATTAGAACCCCGATGGATATCTAGCTGCCACATTCCTCTTCAACTACTTCTCCACCTTCATAGCTACATGTAACATGTCTTGCAACTCCACATAATGTTGTAATTCCACCACATTAGCTATCTTCCTATTCAAACCATTCAAAAATCGGACCATGGAAGCTTCCCGATCCTTTTCAACATTTGATCTAATCATAGCCACACTCCTAGATCCTTGATAATGAATTTGTAATTTTTGATAAAGATCTCTACAGTAATGATTAGGAACGAACCTCTTCCTTACGGTAGGCTTCAATTTTCCCATTGTCTTAATAGGTCTCTCATGATTCCACCACCTAGATGTTGCTATTTGATCTCACCAAATGATAGCATATAATCATTAAACTCAACGAAAACATGTTTTACCTTTTTCTCGTCCGAATAGTTGTGGCAATCAAATATAAGCTTTATCTTTTTCTCTCATTCCAAATATGCCTCTGGATTGCTTCTTCCTTTGAATGAAAGAATCGTCATTTTAATATTGCTCATATTTCTATCAACTCCATTTTCAACATAATCTCTAACCCTTCTATCATACCCATCTCATATATTCCTCATCCTTCCTATTTCGGCCTCCACTAATATATCATCATCAATTTCACTACCTGCTTCATTTTCACCACCAATCTCCGCTCTAGGCTCTTGCCTTCCTTGCCTCCTTGCGTTAGGAACTTCTCTAGGTCATTCCCTATATAAATTAGTAAACAATGTGTCTTGCCTCTCCATCCAAGCTTCTTGTCTGCCCATCTTATCTCCCATATCATCAAACAACCTTTCAAACCATCATATCATCTCATCCATCATGATGAATTGATTATTCTTCCCACTTGAAGTAGAATCATCTCCGCCAAACATTCTAAAACTAGAATAATATTTATCTCACGTGTGTACATTCGTGTATCACTCATTTGGCTTTTTTCTCTATTTGTCTCACCACTTTGCTTGTTTTTCCACTCAGTGCTTCATTGCAAGCATTTTAAGAACTAATTCGACCTCAACCAAAATTCAACTCTTTTGGGGTTTAAACAAAAAATTAAGGGAATTGACTCTCGAATGACTAAAAAAATAGGAATTTGACACTTTGAATGGAAACACTAAGGATAAATTCAAGAAATTGTTTCTTGAATTCGAATGGGACACTTTTGACTTTGGAATTGATTTTTTTTTTTTGTAATTGCTATATTTGTCTTTCTGCAATTTTCGAAATTTTTTTTCACTAAATGCACTGGAATTAAACAAAAAGTCCAAAAAATCGAAAATGAATTAATTTGGACATTAATATAGCGCACAAACGAATTCTGATTTTTTTTGGTATTTTAATTGGATTGAATGACTTAAGGGATGAAGAACACGAAGAACGAAGATGAAGACTCAAACAAAAAGTAAAGGACATAAACTTGATTTTTGGAATCTAAATTCTGATACCTACTGATGTGAATTCACATTGCAATTGTAGTTACAAAACCAACGACAGATTAGATCAAAACCAAAAAAGTCAATAACCAATGTTTGAAAGCTCGACACAATAAATTATTGAACCAAGACAATTGAAATCAATACTTGACTCCATGATCACAAAACCTATGAACCTCACTTAAATTGTTAAACGCCACTAGAAATCAATTCTTGATAAGTTCAAGTTTAGATCGATAAAGAACAAGTTGAAAGCAATACATCTCACAATAATATCTCAATAATTTTGTGTTTTACAATGAAAATAATGAATCATATTTATAGAAAACCCATAAAAACCTAATTAAAACAAAATTATATCAAAAAGGTATCAAAATGATACTATAACAAGAAATTTACCAAAAATAGACTTTTATGAAAAATCTTTAAAATCACATCTAGGAAATGGACAATGCGGCCGCATGATAGGCTTCTTTTCTTCTCGAGTTGGTCTTGAGTGTTGGATGAGGCTACTAGCTTAATTGCACCATGCGGCCGCATGGTTGTCCGGAAGACATTTCTCTTCTTTTGTCTGAATCAATTGCACCCATCTTGGTTCTTCTTTCACGCTCAACGTAAAATTCGATGTTTTGCTTGTTGCATTTGAACTCTCAGCCCATGTTACTTGAACAAATAATCTTATGGTTTCTTTGATCTTCTTTACTCGCGATCTCGACATTGGTCCTTCTTCCACAATTTGCTAGCCTTCGTCCCATGGTTCTCATCATTATATGCGATGATATGGGATAAAACTAAGGATGGCAACGAGGTAAGACACGATCAGATGACCCTATCTAGAATTTACGGGTAAATTTGAATTAAATGAAGTTTAGTGATCTAAAGAGATTCCGCTGAAAGTTTAGTGACCATGAATGAAATTTACCCACATTATGCACAACCTCTCGTTCAGCATAAACAATTGAACACTCATCTTCTTTGGTTTCGAAAACGAAAGCACTCGTCCGCGTTTACATAATGGAGAGCGCTTTACCCACATTATGCACTACCTCTCGTTCAGCATAAACAATTGAACACTCATCTTCTTTGGTTTCGAAAACGATAGCACTCGCTCGCGTTTTCATAATGGAGAGCGCTCTGCTGTGTGCTTCTCGCTTTGTTCCTTCAACAATTAAGCGTTCGTTCATACAAACACAGATTAACATAATTTTGAATATATTGTCTTTTATCTTATCGGATTTCCGGTTAATTTTGTGATTGAAATTCACCGTTTTCTGTTATTTTAAGCAGATTATAGTGAAGTGGGTGCATTTGGAAGGAATTTTCATACTTCATTTTGTGTCCAAGTGCCATACAGCAATTCCCTTTTGAGTAGAAATACTGGAACTGCTCGTAGAAGCCGTATTGTCATCGCTTCAGTGGTTAATTTCCATATCCTTTTACAGGATTGATGTTTGTTTTCATGTTTCCCTGTTGATAACATTGAATTTTGTTGTGAAATTGGGAGGAAAATTGAAGTGTTCAATTTTGTTTATTGCCTGGATTGGAAGACATGAAATTTTCCCCTTGGAAAACATTTAATTTATTTCCAAATGAGCGTTAATCAATTGTTTTCCCAAGGCCTGAATTTCTGTGTTGCTATTTCATATGTTTATTGGAATTGAAAATCCAGTTTTTTTTTATAATGAATTAAGTAGATACAAATCTAAATTTGGAAGAAATTTTGATATTTTGCAGGTTGGAAGGAAAGTTAAGAAAGAGACTATCATTCCTGACCCCGATTACCGCATCCCAGTAGTCCTTCTTGGTGAGTACTGATTGCATTTTAGAGCATGTTTAGCTACGCTTTATTTTTATTTTTTTTAAAAGCAAATATTGGTTTCCTTGAGCCACGTTATGTTTTCATTCCCATTCTTTTACTCACTTTCAACTAACCATACATTCTTCAATAAAATAATATTTTCCATCACATTAATAATTTTTCCTGCTTTTTCAACCACATATTCCCCGTTATATCAAAAAAAAAAAAAATGCATTCTTGGGGAAAAATGTGCACCAAACGGGATGATATTTGGATATGTTATGTTTAAGTAACATAAGTTACTTATTTTGAAAATAACTCTTACCATACACTCAAAGTAAGTGACTTATTTTTAGCTTTAACCAATTAGAAAAAAAATTTATATTAGTAACTCATTTGTACATTCAAAATAAGTGACTTATTTTCAGCTTTAACCAATAGTAAATATTATTTATATTAAAACTTAGTTAATTAACTTATAAATAGACTTTTTACGCTTAACCCAACGTGCTCTTTGTTTTTTTGTGTGATGAAATGTTATCTTAAAATGCTGCTTCAGATGTCCTGCTATCATTCCTCGAGTATATCTAAAGATATATAACCATAATTCGTGCCTGTTTGAGCCCCATTTTTATTCTAAGAATGCATTTTGGAATGGTAGATTGATGGAGAATGTGTAATTAAAAAATAAGGAAAACTGTTTGGTTTGCGTGTAATATTATTTTATTGAAAAATGTGTGGTTGAAAAGAAGAGAAAAATGTGTATTTTGAAAATAATGAGAATCAAACAAGGGCGATTTGTAGCATGGCATATGCTGTTTGGTATCGGGCATTCTTTCCTATTAAATAGAATATTTTTTCATTCTGCTTATTTCATGTGGGATGGTTGTATGAGCAGGTATGGCTGGTGCTTTAGTTTATGTAGATAATTTATCAGCAGCAGTCCCCGTTGGTCTTCTTGGACTACTCCTATTGGTCCAGGTAACATCTATATTATATGTGAGAAAAGTATCAGCATATTACAGATATTTATTAGCTTCATAAATCTTTAATTCGTCACAAACTTTTTGTGCTGCTATTTTTCCTGCTGATGGAAGTGTAATTGTGAGTGCCTTTTGTCTTTAGTTGCAATTCTCATTAAGTTGCACTGTCTTTTTGGCATGCTCATGGTTTAATGATGTTTATGTTTCCTTGATTCAGACAACAAGAGTGAGATTCGTCTTTGATGAGGAAGCTCTGGTTTGTTCACTCACCCCCTTTTAAATGCATCCAATTTCACGAAAGTAAGCAAAATATGCATTGACACTGCCTGTCTAATTCATTAAGCATTTTGTCCCAGTTTAGATTGGAATATTTAGAAACTAACGCAGGAAGGTCAAATTCATTCTTTTATTTTCTCAAACAGTTTTCAAACTTTACTTCCTACCTTAATCTATACCAGATTTACTACCATCATTGAGGTGACTCAATTCTTTAGTGTAATGTTTGGTAAGGAGGATTGGACAACACTGGACAATATTAATGAAGAAAAAATTTATTTCTTGTTCATTATTCAGTCTAGTCCTATCCAGTATTGCGCATCAAACATGCACTGACAGTTACTTCAAACGCTCTGCAGTGGCTCGTCCTCAAATAAATTGAGTATAACATTTGTTCATAAACTCAAGGACATTTGAGTTGAGAATAAATTTGCTGATTTGATCATGTATCAAAAGCTTAATTCTGACGTGCTTGGAAGGCTTTAAATATTTTTTGCTCGAAGATATCTTTCTTACTTTTGGTTAACGAGATGGAGATTCTGTTTTCATTTCATAATGGGAAGCCAATCTATTCATTTTAGGAGAATTATTTTCTAAAACCTGGTTACAGGAGGTGAAAATTGGCGATCAACTTCAAGAGTCAGGTCCAAATGCTTTTGTGGGAGGAAAAAACCGCTGGAAGTAAGTGTAGTTTTATTTTTTCCTCTAAATTTCAGAAAGAAGCAATTATTTATTATTTTGTTGTCAGGTATTCAACATTTGTGAACTGGGAGCTGTGGTGGCCTAATTTCCCTATTTTAGTATATTTTAAGGAGAAACAAACAAAGCCTGAAGGTCAAGTGCACTTTTTCCCAATAATTTTTGTAAGTATCCAAGTGCTGTGAAACTTGAGGGTTTTCTTATTTGGGTCACAAGCCTGTAACTTATGACAGTTTTCTATTTTGTTCATTAATCTTCTAAATGTCTCTACTTACGAACAGAACGGAAAGCAACTTTATGATGTTATGGTTGAAAGATGTGGTTCTTCAAAAACTAGTGCACCCAAATAGTTGTAATCTGCATTACAATGAGCCAGATTTGTGAGATCGCAATTGGACAAGGTATGAAAATCACATGTAATTTGTAATACACACTAGACATGCATGTTTGGTATGCATTACTGAACATTTAAATACAGTAGAAAAGACAAGATTTGTTTGCTTCATTTTCTTCTTCAATATAATTACAGTCTAACATACCAAACAAGCTAGTAATCTTTTGCTTCGGTTCCTTGCTTAAACAGCTATAGTTTCTTTTAAATGTAAAGAAGATGCTCTCGTGAGTAAAATGTATTTTTTCAAGGTAGATTTTTCTGTTTAAAGTTTTGAACTAAATGCAGGAAATTTATGGTTTATGTTTCAGATAAGAGAGTAGTGCCACCCATTCACTTGTTTTATACTTCCATGTTTAACAAAAGAATGCAGCTTTGGACCCTGCCCTTCAAGTTTGTGCTAAGCTAAAATTTGTGTTTTTGCATTATCAGAACTCTGGTTACAATATTAAAGGAAACAGTCCTAGTTTTCTTTCTACGAGCTCTTTTATGGGTTTTTTTAGCACGACAATTTATGTTGCCAATGTTTTTACAGTCCATGTAAACCTAAGTCGTAAACGTTCAGTTGTGCAGAATGTATAAAAAATCTTAGTGTTTTCTCTCTCTCATCGACATGGATGTTTTTAAATTTTTGTTGCAGGGAAGAAGTTCGGTTTCTTCTTTCAGAAAGCTAGCTGGACTTCGCTGTAAAGTATCTTACGCTTTCTCATTTCACTGTATTGAGAGGTGTCGAGGTAACAAACTTTCGCAGTTATAATCCTTGGTAGTAGTTACCATCATGTATGTAATAGGGTCGGATAATTGAATATATTTTAGCCCTGACATTAACTAAATGTTACAAGGGTTTTATTGCAATAAGTTTCTTCGTCATTTATGATTATTCCTCGGTGTCAGTCGGGCAGTGTTGGGTTAGCTTGGGCTTTGGGGTTTGTGCAATCTTTTGTTAAAAATAAAAGATAGCAAGGGATATAATTAGAAGTAATTAATTGAATAATTTTAACAGACATTATACATTTTGTTGGTTGGCGTATGATTGATCCCATTGCCACGCTTTTGATTCGTTCCTGGATAGTAACTCTTCTTCTTCTTCTTCTTCTTCAACTTTACTTGCCAGTTTTGGTCTTAGCTGCCATTGAACGTCCAATTTTGAAAATCATGTGCTCTTATAATTTTCTGTTCGGCTTGTTCTGCTGTAAGAGCTCGGTCGGCTATGGTTGCAAATGTAGACCCTCCAAACCATCCATTCGCACGTCCCTGCTTAGTTCTGGTTGTAGTCCTTCCAGAAATCGTTCAAATTTTAGTGCCTCCATTGATTCCATATTTGGTACAAATCGAGATAATTCTTTGACTTTCTCAATATATTCTCCAACCGTCATAGATCCTTGGCGAGGGTGAATGAATTCTCCCATTTTCTTATTTTTGGCACTGGCAAAGATTTACTTGTTTTGAAATAGGTCACAGAATCTTTCCCATGTCATCTCGGACACATTTCCTAGTTATTCGATGGTATCCCACCATTGTCTAGCACTTCCTCGGAGGATGAAAGATGCACAGTTGACTTTCTCTTCACCCGCCCCCCTTGACTAAAATTAAACATTCTTTCCATATTTTCAACCAATTTTCGGCCTCCACGAGGTTAGTTGATCCTTCGTAAGTTGGTGCGCGTTAAGTAGGCGAAACCAATCGCCACATGACAGGTGTCGTCCCATTTCCATTTTGATTAACTAAACGGGTCAGTTGTTGTGCTTGTGTCTGAACTAGTTGAGTTAGTCGGTTGATGATCACTATCATGTCGTCTTCCTATGGGCGTGGCATGATTTCTTGAAACAAATATTCATTATTAATTTTTGAGGGAAAAGCACTACCCTTCTTTTCTTTAAAGCGTGTCAATAAACAATGAATACGGACATACTTTTAATTGGAGAAGAAGCGAGTAGGTGACCTCTTGATCACTCTCTGAACAATCAAAATAAGGTAAAGCTTGAAGACAAACTCCTTCCCTTACTATTGTTCAATCGAGGCATAATTAAATGGGAGTTTCGGTAATTCAATGTGCCCTCATCAATCAAGGTCTATGCTTTCTCCACCTTTCTTGGAACTTATGCCATACCTCGTTATGGATTCGAACCACCGAGCAAGCCATTTCCCCTTGAATTTTAAAACTCGATCCCGCCAACCTAGTGATCCAATCATGGTGCCGTTTTGCAAGGGAACCGATCCTAACCTGTCAAAACCGGTTGGGGTTCGCGGCGAACCAGAGACCCTGTTAGCCTTGATCCGCCGGTTGAATTGTGGTTGAACAAAATTTTTAAACCGTTTTGGATTAGAGTTTCAAAACATGGACCTCTTTCTTAAAAAGTCAAGCAGTAAACCACTTTGCCACTGTTAATGCCTAATTCTAATTGTTATACTTTTGCTCAAATGTTATATAATAGCATTTGTCATCTTAGCAATTATATTTTTTAAATATAATAATAAAAATTTGTTATATTTATACATGATACTTATTTTAATATTTGACTAATTCAATATGATTTTACTGTTATAAAAAAACCATTTAAGGAAGGGAAAAAAAATCATAAATCAGGCTTTAAGTTTTACAAATGCAAAATCAGGTTTTAAGTTTAAAAATGCAAAAATCAAGTATTTATTTATTAATTAATTATATTTTTATTAATTAAATATAATATAATTAATGGTCACAGATACATAATTATAGGTCACAACTTTTATTGATCACAGATTATTTCGATATCACAAATCAAAAATTTTATAAGTTACAGTTTTTCTATAGGTCACATATTTTCAAATTTTTTATCACAAATTATCAAATTTTGATGTCAGGGTTTAACGGTTAGTCACAAAGAACCAAATAGTTGGTTACATACACCAAAAAACCAACCCCGATCCCGATCCACCACCAATACTTAGTCACAAATCAACCAAATAGTTGTCACAAACACTCTTCATCCCGTCGCCATTGCCACCATCACCACCACCAACAATAACAACACAACACCACGATCACAACATCACCACCTCACCACTATCACCACCACCATTAAATCAAATCTGAACCTACCAACCCACCACACACCACATCTGCTCCACAACTGGTCAAACACCACACACCAACAGTGCCGCCGCCACGCCGCCAATACCATCGCACCCACAGCACACACACACCCACCACCACTGCAATCAACCACACACCACCACCACCACCACCAACCATATCTGAACCCTCTACACACCACATCTGCACAACTGGTCAAACACCACTACAACCAGCATCAACACCACCACCACACCCCTACACAACACCACCACTACAACTCCACTCCGCCACTGCAGACACACCCACCACCCGTCTCTGCTGTGAACGACAGCCTCGCATGCTACCATTCACAGCAGCATGCGACGCTACCCACCACCCGTCGTTACTGTGAAAGGCAGCCTCGCACGTTGTCGTCTGTCGTTCATAGCAGCGCGCGACGCTGTGAACGGTAGCGTCGCACGGAGAGAGACAAGGGAGAGAGGGGGAGGGAAGGAGAGAGACGAGGGAGAAGGGAGGAGACGAGAGGGAGGAAGTAAGGAATTGATAAAATTAGGGTTATCAATATTATGTTTAATANAAAAAAAAAAAAAAAGAATACTTGAAACTTGAAACTAATTTTTAACTTATAACGCATTAAACTTCCTCAAATTTTATCTAAACTTTCAACCCAACGACGACTTAGCGATTGAACGTGTGACCTGTCGCTTGAATCATTAACTGATGGACCCGGTACCTTGGTTAGGTCAATGATCGGGTCGATTCTGAAAACTATAATAAAAATTTCTTATGAAAATGCTAAACTTAGGAATTACTATTCAAGACATGTCTTAATACAAGATATGATGGGAATGATCAATATGTTCAGACTTCTACACAACTTGAGTTGTCTATGAAAGGAATATTGATAATCCAATAACAAAACAATGCTTGCTCAAGGATTTACAGGCCGAGTGGGAAAAGGCTTTAAACTAATATACCGATGATAAGTGTATCTTATGCACTAATTCGAGCTCTAAAATATTGACATTTAGTAATTCTTTTAATGGAATTATAGCCTAATTTATTTTATAATGTGTTATTAGATGAAACCTGATTAATGTAAGTGAAATTGAAAGAAAGAAGCGAAAATTGACTAAAAATGGCAATATCCAAAGTTTGGGGGCTGAAGTGCAATACTCAAAAGTTGTGTCGGAGCTCACAATGAAGATTCGAGAATGTTAGGGGTTAAATGGATACAACTAAAAGTCAAAAGGAATGAAAATATGACCAAAATATTTTCACAAATTAATTTTCAACCGCAAAAGGATGTCCAGATTTTTAGTTGGAGATTGAGACCCATTTTTTGCCCAGTAAACGTTCGAATTAAAAAAGATCTATTTGTAACAAAGTTGTAGTCCTTTGAGTTATCTTTCCAAAGCATTTGAATTTCCTTAATCGGATAACGGGAGAAAAAGTTATGACAAAAATACTGAAACAGACGCAGAGTTTGGAACAGCGACTCAGCGCCAATACGTTGGAATACAAGCGTCCAGGCGCTATGAAGAGACAACAAAAACAAAGATGCTCATAGTGGGAAAGTGGGAAAAGGCTTTAACTTAAGAGAAATGCTATGTGTACACAATAGTTTACACCCCCTCATATGGAGGGGGGCCCACATACAATACAATATTTGTGGGCCCCCCTCCATGCGAGGGGGTGTAAAAAATTGTATACACCATAAGGTGTACACATAGAATAATCCTTAACATAATATACCAATAAAATGAAATTATTTTCGCAAAGAAATTTTGAGAGAAAAGTCGAAAATAAAATTCAGATAGTATAATTTTGAAGAGCCTTGCTATGTGTATATCACCCCTTACACAAGGGGTGACATAATGCACAAGTGGCGCCTTCTCATT